TATATATATATATATATATATATATATATATATATATATATATATATATATATATATATATATATATATATATATATATATATATATATATATATATATATATGTCGAATGTATTTTCAAACCAGTAGAATAAGAATAATCTGGATATATGAATTTGCAGCGACAATTTTGCTCAGAAAACTTGAAATATCGATATTAGGGATTTTGTAGAAAGCCGTGGATTATGATGTTATTAGGGGAAAATTCTTATCAGCTTGATTAGTAGACTTCTTTTCTTATGAGTATATTTTTTAAATCGTCAAATTAATTAAGATGATCATCTTATTCCTAAGTAATATATATCCATTTATTGGGAAATTGTTTTCCTGTTGAATTCGTTTCTCGGCGATACAGATTTATTCGGGATGTAATACTGTTCTTGCACAATATTACTAGTTAACAAAAAAAAGGTGTAAAATATATATATATATATATATTACACGATGAATTGTTAAGCAATGATAAATGAGTTATACAAAAACAAATAATGTGATCAACTAACAAACTCCTTGTCGTTGCCTTGGACCAATAATTTGACTGTCGGTAAGTTGATAGGTCATTGAGTTGGGAATATGTTACGGGAAATGTATTTAGCGAATAGAAGAATGTCGTAGTTTGTTGTCCAATGGTGGCGGATATGCGAAGATATTGGTTGTGGTTTAGCCGCGGAGGATAAGCGAAGAGGATGTATCGTCTGCTCGATTGTAAAAACTGACCTCAACTGTCTGTCTCGGGATTTTTCCATATATATGGATTAGGGAGGAGCTTTGTAAGCTCCATCGAGGCTATCATGGAGGTATGGCTAGCCTTTAACACTGTCTATTGTGTAAGTACTGAGACGTTTTTGTTTTACGCTATTGTTAGCTTATATCCTCTTCATTGCTTTAATTTTACTTACAAGATTTCGTCATCCCGTTTGTTGGATATTACGGAAATTTTATTTGGACGTAGCTTTAATTTCGGTAATCCGACAGAAAATTTGCATTATGATTTTTGGAGTTTTTCCAACACCATTCTTTGAGTAATGAATGATTTATTTTATAACTTCCGAGTACGAATTACACTTAACTCATTGAAAATTCTCCTTGACAAACTAACATTTCAGTAAAGGAATCATTTTCTACACCCTTAATGATTGCTGCAATATGAATCCTTACCAGAATCAATATTTTCCAATAAAAATACACACTTATCACTACCACTTTCGCCATATCATTCTTTACCTCGCGATCATGTAGAACTATTTAAGTGTTCCTTCATTATTTGAGATGCACATGTAATCTGGCAATAACCTCTACTATAAAAGGTTAACTATGAAAAGTTAAGCCTTCGAAACTTTACCCTGTCGAGTCAACTTCTACATGACTCAGTATCGGAAGCGAGCTGACATGTCACTTACAATTAAACAATATTTTATTTAACGAAGTTAACAAAAAATAAAGAGATGATGACTGCAAAAATCACAATACTGATTATATCGAGATATTCAATAAGACCATCAATTCCTTCCTTTCCCAGTCCAGCCTTTCCTCTTCAAATTTTGCTGTCTTCTGTAGGCTTGATATGACTGAATTCTTGCTTTTTTATTCCTCTGTTTTAGGATTTGTTCAGAAGTTTTCAGTTCAGAACGTGGCGCTTTTAGTTCTTTACTTCCCGTTTTATTTCGCCCCTTTCTTTTCCGGTTGCCGCTACGCCTCTAAAATCACAAGAGCATGATTCTTAGAAAAGATTAGTCATGATAACTATACTAGACCTATTTTGTGTAACCTTTTTCAACTCCGATCTACCACCTCTTCCATAAAAGTAAATCATTTTCTTAAAGACTTCTTTCGGAAATAAATATAATGTAAGAATGAAACAATATGCTAGCTGAAACTTGAAAATAACAAACCCTGAAATCGTGTTGCTTTATCCTTGCGTCAATCGTCTCTTCATCATCATTATTCTGGTATTCCAACTTTTGTTTCTTCTGCCATCTCTCATAACGACCACTTTTGTATGTCGCCGGCAAATAAGTTCCATCTTCTGTACGTATTTTCTTCTTTGAATCGTCGCCATTATCACCAACAAACTTCTTCAGCTTCCTGTCCCTAAAAATTGCAATTTTTTTCGAACATCGTGAAATACGTTGACAATCAGTTTTATATTATACATTGAGATAGAGAACAAAAACATGTCCAAAGTTTTCAAGAAGTTCAGTATTAGACCATCAGATGCACCTGTTGAAAATCATGAAACACCGGTTTTTCTAAGACATCCTTGAGAGGTACACACAAGTGTATATGTTATATACCATAAAATCAAACAAGCAAAACATCAAAACGTGCATTTCAAAGTATAGTGCCGACTTCTTTTATTATTTCGAAATGCTTTTGCTCGAATTATTCACGGCATCAAGTTTGATAACATTTAGTACAGTTATATTTGAAAATCTTTCAACGTTTCTGAATGTTGAAAACTGTGAATTTTTGAAGAAATCAAAACTAACCATTTTTTGCGTTTTTCCTGTTTATACAAACCAACTTCATCGTCAGCAAGAATTTCTATAGTGCTTGCTTTGGCTAAGGTATTAAAATCACGATCCACTGCCAAGCCACGTTCTGCATTTGCTTCCGCAGGTGCATAAGCTTTAAAAAAAACTAATATTTTATCTTTTAAACTAAATCCTTCTAATTTCCACAAGGTAAATCAAAAACACCGCGGTGTAGAACATTATATCAAAATTAAAAACATGACACGAAACACTATTTAAAGACTTCTGTTACGCAAAGAATGAAGGTCACGTTAAAACTCGGAAATAATTACCAATGAAATGCTTTCTCTTCTCTTCTAACAGCTCATCAGCCTTTCGCTTTCTTTCCTTGTATGGTTTTTGTATCAAAGCATTTACCGCCGAAAATTTTGTACTTTTTATCACCGTTTGAAATGTATTTTTCTGAAAAAATGAATTCACGAAATAATTGTCTTAATCAGCATAAGGCAGTCCGAAATACACCTTATATTCAAATCAAAAGCTGAATCATTACGATGTTTTATAATATGAAGAAAACTCAATCATTTAAAAAACATATTGCTCTTACTTGAAAAGCACTTAAAAAGCATATTACGTTTAGTTACACAGATAGCATCAGTGTTATCGCTATGGCTTGAAGAAAATTAATAGAGTATGTTAGATATGATCTATATCCGTAACCGTGTACTGCACTCGAAGAAACATTGACTGGGTAACACTTGACACTGATTGGGTGAATCTAAGTGATACAGAATCTTGCAACTCTAGCGCTAGCTATATTTTACGTTTCAGCATGCTACAGTAAATGTTCCAAGGCTTTGAAAATTCTTTATTTTTATAAGAGAGAAGAGAGTACTTATAAAGATGGTATCACTAGAAAATGGTGGAATTTATACAGATGAAAGAGGAAAAGAAATAATTTACGATGGTCAAACTCACCAAAACATCCTCACTTGGTTCATATGTAGAATTAGTTATTTCTGGCTGGTCGAGGTCTGAGCACTTATCCGAATCAGTTTTAGAGTGAATATAATTCTGATGAGCTTTACGTTTTTCCTTCATAACAGCTGCTGATAACGTTTTACTGCCACTTTGAATTTCAAAGATAGTCTGTAATTGCAACTATGAATAAAGAATAGCTTCGAATAGCCTGAATAACCTTCGCAGACAAAGATAAAATCCATTACACTTCGTACTTAAATAGTTAGACCGAGAAAAACACATTTTGATCCACTGACTGAGGCTTGAGATGAGGGAGATTTTCCACATTAAAAAAGGTAGAGATAGAAGTTCGCTTCGGAAAAGAATTATCCTGCCTATACGCTAATCTATGACTCCATAAAAAATTCACCAATTTTTCCGGTAATTAAATACGTTCTTCTCTCCTGTATGCATTCATCTTCAAGCAATCATGACAATTTGGAAAAAATTTTACATACTGTCGTTGATTTAAAATTGTGCAAATGTCGAAGCAGGGATTGCCTGACAATTTCCTCCGGTGATTCCTGCTGCAGAAATGGATGAACCGCAGCCTTGAATAATGTCGCCTTGATTTCACCTTTTGCTCGACGAACTGATTCCGCTGATGGTTGTGGACGAGTTTTTTTGTATTTTTGCATGGCATTTTCTGATTTTTTTAAAAGATCGTCCTGAAATTTGAATTTCAATTCAAATGATTCACGTAATTAAGTACTGCTGAGATCTCGAAGCTTACCAATTCATCCGAATTGTCATGCACATTCTTCAGAAAATCAACCTCCCTATCAATGATATCATCTGGAAATATCCCAATCAACGTCTCATCTGCAATCGGAAAATTTACAACATATAAATATTGATTTCGACTAATTATGCATGTGTTAATTTAAAATATGTAGTGTTAATTAGAATTGTATAGTTGGGAAAAAAATTTTTCGTTGGAAAAAAATAAAATTGATAAAACGTTTACCTTTGTTAGCTGAATCAGTCGTTGCGAATTTTAGTGGACGACTCAGAAACAAGAAGAGATCGACAACATATGGCACTTCGTCTGCACCGAATAAGCTAATGGCTTTTCCAAAACGACCCGCACGAGCAACTCTACCTAAAGTAAATAAATAGCTAAGAGAATAACAGAAAGCCTTATTTAGAGATTTATAGGAAACATTAGGAACTCACCAACACGATGAACAAAAAGCTTCGGTTTCGGAGGAAAATGATAATTTATAGCAACATCCAGAAGCGGAATATCCACTCCTCTAGCCGCAATGTCTGTCACAATTAGTAAGGAACATTCCTTCTTGCGAAATCTGCAAATTCATTTTTTGACATTGATGGAAATAACTTCTAAAACTTCGAAAATTTTTCGCTGAAACAAACTAACCAAAATGATGTGTGCCACAAAATAAATGTCACATAATCGCTGTTAGAGATGGGGTTTTCACAAACGGTATGATGATTATATCAATTTGTCACCCCATATCTGTCATATCACCGTCATAACTAACTTCTGAATGTTTATATTCCTGGCCACACAATCCAGTTGGCTGTACAATACCACGCAATCGATTCCAGCTTTTTCTGCAACTGCTGCTAGATATTCAACATGTTTCATTGTAGCACAAAAAACAACGGTTTGTTCATTTCCTGCTACGACTTCACGGGCAAGATGTATAAATGCCGCTAATTTATCATCCGAACGACAGTACAGGAATACCATCGACAGTTTATCACTTATTTTTTCAGCAAGATCAAGTCGAACTAAAAAAAAAAAGCTGAACTTCATCTTTTTTCCACACTTTCTTAGTAAAGTGAAGTAAAGAAAATCTTATTTAATTCCTTTTAAAGAAAGTTGTAGATTTTTTTAAGGTTTAATTTGCTGTAGAAATGGGCTATGCAGTAGTGAGAAATCCATTAAAATTCGATGAATCTCATAACGCAATGGCCAATTTTCATGACGAAATTTACAATACATTCATTAGAAATAACGAAATACCTAGAACTGGATCTGAAAGACCTGCTTTCGAAAAAGCAATGATACTGTTTGGAAGAGTGGCTGAGAAAAGCAAAGTCTGCCGATTTTCCGGTATTCGCTTCAACACTTCCTTAAAATATATTGTATGCTATTATCATCATAACTTTTGCATTAAAGAATTTTTAGAGATGGAAAAATCAAAAAACTTTTGGAAACGAAAAAGCTCCCTGATCTCGATACTCCTGATTTGCTTTCTGGAAATGCTTAACTTCAGCAAAAGTAATCGATATCGCGACTAGCATTATTATTACCTGCCAGAAGGTTTCTGATAAAAACTCTGCACAGGAATTTATTTGCAGCTACATATAGATGATAGGAGTTAAGTCTCAAAATAAGAGAAATTTCTGATGCTGTAATTATAACAAAGCAGTTTTTGATTCGTGCGATTTCGGTAGCAAATGATAAAAACTTACGTGAAGTTGTTCAGCGAAGCCCATTTCAAATAAGCGATCCGCTTCATCAAATACAATTATTTGCACTGCGGATAGACGAAAGTCCATTTCAACAATAACATGCAGCAGACGTCCAGGTGTTGCAACCACGCTGAAATCATACTTTTAAGTCTTTGAGAAGTCGATAAATGTTTCAATTGGAGATACATGCGAAATTGTTAAGTCAGATAAATGAGGAAAATATTTACATATCCGGCTTCTCATGGACAGCTTGAAATTGCTCCTCGATACGGTCACCACCGACCAAAACTGCACAGCGTAGACCAGTAAACCTTCCCAGCTAGAAACAAACAATGAATCTGAATATTTGCGAAATAAAGGAAATTTAAATCGCTTCCAAAAGACATATAAAGACAGAAATTTAAGTTGCATCACGCTGCAAATCTATCTTAGCACATCGGTAAAGTCCAGTGCAGTATATTATTGGAAATTATCGCACATGACAATCGCTAATAAACGCGAATGAGGTTCCCATCAAGAGTCAATAATAGGGAGGTGAGAATTTGTTTTCTCTTCCAAAACAGATAATTCGTCATTGGATTCTAAGTTCAAAACATATTTGGCATTCGAAAAACTAAATTCTAGAATCACTATATGCAACTACAGGAATATACACAGTCCATTGACCGCCTTCTTTTGTTCGGATTATGCTATTGCAAACTAATAATCAGAAGAAAATATCAACCTCCTTAACTACAATGAACGTTTGTATTGCCAGTTCCCGTGTCGGTTCAATGATCAAGGCGCGAATACCTTTCATATCTCGGACTTTTAATTTTTGCAAGATTGGAATGACGAAAGCTGCTGTTTTTCCACTTCCTGTCCTTGACATGGCAACGATATCTGAAAATAACAGTAAAACCGTTACAGTTCGTGCAAAGATTAAATGATAAATTTCTAAAAAAATTCGTTAAAAGCAGTAGCTCTATAACCTGAAATAGATTTTCCTTTTACTTTCACCTAGCATGGCAATCAAACACCAGCAAAAAAGTTTTGCATAACCCAACATTCTGATGGTGAAAAGATGGTGAAAAGAAAGGCCCAAAGCTTGTAACTTGTTTTTTTTCTTTTTTGAACTGTGAGGTTGACTTTTAAATAGTTCGACAAGAAAAAAAGAAAGGAGTACTTCAGCATACCGATGAAAGTGAAATTTAACCTTTTCCATCAATAATTAATGGTATCGCTTTGCGTTGAATTGGTGTAGGTTGGCGAAATCCTTTTTTCTGAATTCCTTTGAAAAGCGTATGATCCAAACCTGATGAAAAACATTTTAAAAGCCAGAAAAAAAACCAAAAGCACCAAAGTGTGGTATTAGAAAGAATATTTCAAATTAAACCTGATTTATTATCGAATTATCGTCCTATTTTCAAAGTAAAAGATAGTCGGAAATTTATGCTACTAAGAAATAAAATTAACAAATTTCCAACCGAAACATACCAATGGCTTGCCATCCTCCGGCTTGTCGTTGTTTTCGGTTTTGGGCACTTTTCAAAGTACCATATAATTCTTCCGTATCCGAACTACACCCCACTTCACCACTGTGCATCTATATCTTTGCCAAATTAACGATATGACTATTTGAAATACTACACAATTAACATATATATCACTTAAAAACAATATCAAATCCCAAGCTGACCTCAGGCTGACTCTAAGTTTAACGTCAATTCTTCGCTGTAAAGCAGCCTATCAAATTGACCAGAATTGAATATTTTGAAAAAACCAAAGGTAGCCACAAGTTTAGTAGGATTAGACCGGTACTTCATGGTGCGGCCGCTTCTGTCGACCAAATTTGGCAAGATCCTGTGGGTAGTCTATTCGGTGCGAGGAACCTAACGGTGGATTTTTAAGGTAGACTTTAAGGTGGACTTCTTTGGATGGACTCTTTTTCTTGCATCTCCTTCCCAGTAAGGATATTTTCTCCGAGAGTTCTCAGTCATTGCTTTATTCTCTCCTCAGCATATTACCTATTCGTCATTTCTTAATAGCGTCTTTCCTTTTACTCACTTATTTGTTTTTCGTATTCTTTTCAAATTCGTTATTTGCTATCAGTTCTTTCCAATAATCTCTCAACTACCGCATATTAATTTGTGTTAATTGGTTTCAGTCACATTACCATGATTTTACAGTATGGCCGTACAATATAAGACGAAACCACCAAGTGAAGAGTGCAAATGGATATGCATATATCCGTTGTATATGAATTCTCGAAAGACCATTGCACAGGGGCGAAGAGTGAACAAGAATAAGGTATGGCATCCTTTTTTTTCTTTTCTCGTTATCATTTTTAGAACTTTTTTACTGCTAAGCAAAGTGTATTAAAGGCAGTGGACTCGCCAACAGCACAGGAAATTTACGATATCTTGTCAAATGCTGGCATGAAAGTCAAACTTGAGGTAACTTTTATTTCGATTTAATAATATCATCCATCACTTTATTTGTACGTCCATTTTCCTATTTTCACGATATAGCAAATTTTTCGGTCTATTTGTGACATTTAAATGACATCTTTCACTCCCTCAGAACTGCTATACTTTTAGTTATGATGATAACAAGTTGTACAAGAGCATTTTTGAATGAAAACAAACTTGCTTTTTTCTCAAATTTTTTTTTCTGAAATCTGACCGATTTACAAAGATTCACTTAGTTTGCTTTTTTTCAGTCTCCATCGTTATTTTGTTTGCTTAATTAATTTATTATCAAGTTGTTCCACTTTCAGAAACAAAAGATGCATCCTTTGGATCCGAATCGTGATGCTAATGCTCAAGGGAGAGTGCGAGTACAGTTATGGAATGATGATGGTTCTCTATGTGACGAGAAATTTCCAACGAGTTAATATTAACAAATGCTTCATAGATTTAGGAAATTCGGTTTTATAAACTTTTTTGTTAGCCATTGTGATTTTTTAAGTTTGTACATTATTGCAGGAATGTCACTGATGTTATACGCATGTGAAATGGTGCCAAAATTAAAAACACGGCAAGTTGGTGGGGGAACAATATCACAAGCTTCTTCAGGTAGCGGAGTTGGCGGCGGTAAGACCAATAAAAAGAAGAAGCGATAGGGTCTTTTTGTATATTGCTAATTAGATTCGTATGTCTCAAAATATGGCTGTACATTCATGCCACTGTTAATGTAAAAGAAAAGAAAAGAATCTTTGGTCAAATCAATGTGATATGGCTGGGCTTTCTGTGGTAGCTTAATTTTTTGCAAACTTTAGGTTTCAGTTCTTCAAGACCTTTTAAATGGTTTGGTTGTTATGTTCCTTTTTTTTAATAAAGAACTCCCATTTCAAGGACAAAAACATATCTTTCCAACTATCTTATTGAGAATTCCAACAAACTCTAATCCGTTTAGTGGCAAACAGTATGTCAACGAAGAGATATATATATTCATAAGTTTTAAACAGATAAAGATGTGCTACATACTAGATGGTGGCCAAACAAATTAATCAAAACTTTAGATTCAAAGGGATGATTTGATGACATATATTCTCCTTTAAAAAACCGGACATGAGCTTTGTTGTTATGTAATGCATAGGATGACCTCATGACTTATGAAGAGGTTAACTTTTCAGAATGCTTATTTTCACACCATCATAACGTAAAATGGAAAGGTAAATATGCGAGGAAGAACTAAATCCGCCGCGTGTTATTATGTGTATTTCTGTCAACTAAAAAACTGTAACAGATCTGTCGTGTCGTTCAAGTCAGCAAACCTCTGTAAGATTAGGACCGTGATAGACAACTCTATTCAATAGATTTTTAATACTATTAAGTTAGCAATGAATTATAGCAAGTATCGTCTCGTCCAAGTTAGCTAGACCTTTATGATATTAAGGCAAAATGTTCGATGTTGCTAACTTCGCTGAAATCGTTCAATATGATCATATATCCTTATCAACGACAACAGTTACATCACTGATAGTAATAAACTGAACAGCAAACATAGAAAAAAGCAAGCCTTCATACAAGGAAGTAACGGAATATCTCCAGATTTAATTCAGAATATCGAATTTCACGAATGCGTGGCCGCTGGAAAACAATTTCTTTCCGATTAGCAGGATTTTGAATATCGGTTCGTGCTAAATCGCTGTATTTGACGGGACTCTTTTTAGCTGGGGATGGCGGCATTTGTTTGCGAAGATTTATATAACTGCCAAAATGAGGTGGCATACTGTACTGCACTTCTGATCGTTCACTCTGTAATTTCATTCTTTAAACTGGTCATAATATAAAGGTGCAGATCATAGTGGGATCAGATAGCTTGCTTGTTAAAATTTCGCTAATTTTTTGGAACAAATCATTATTTACCAGACGGTCGGAGAAAGCTATAACATTTGAAATCGGAGACATTAGCGATCGGAAATGCAAACGTCACAGAGAGATGGATAGAAAAGGTTAATACGGACACGAATATTCCCTGTTCTCTCGTGCTTCAAACATATTTGTTTGCATGTATATTGAATATAAAAAGAAATGTAGAAATTGCCTCCTTTAAACCCCAAAATGGAAACAGACACTCGACTTCGTTAAACAAATACCACTTATATACGAACTTGGAAAGCGAATTTCACTGGAAACAATTAATGTGTAGTCGTAATTTGCATAAAACATGCAATCAGTGTGCAGTCGTAATTTGCATAAAACGTGACCGATGTCATTGCAACCATATTCAATCCAACATTGAGCTAAATAATCGAAGGGAGAGAAGGGGAGTTGGTTGATGTTGACCATGTTGTTTCATTTTAACTTTACAGAACTGCGTGATACGTAAATGACGAGGATTCTGAAAGACGTATAAAGTTCCGTCAGTTTAGCGAATAGTGATAATAGTGATAATTGTTTCCCACTAAAAGAGATTCTTTGATTTTTAATCCACTTCTTCCTGTTACATGAAATATTTCTCCTATCCTTTCCGCTCTGCTTCCACATATCTCATCCGGTTCTCTTGTGTTTCACCTCTCGTTACTCCCGCACCCTCGTACCTAATCTATTGCTTTTCTAAGGAACTGAAATTGTATAATTCACTGTTTTTCTTTTTTTTTTAGTCGTAATGATTTGACCTTTACTCAGTAAACTCCCGTCAGTTCATTGTCGTTCCTTTACATCCAGCAAACATTACGCTTAAATCATATCATTCACTTATTGTCACATTCTTCTGAATCATCTGACGTGCTACATGCAACACTTCATTTAATGATAGATTAGATTCTTTGATATGACCCATTTACTGCATTTGCTTAAAAATTAAATTATTTTATTATGTACGTGGAAACGTGAAAATGATACGCAACATTATTATAAAATTCGCGGTGATATTAATAGTAATAATAGTAACAATAATAGTGATAATAATAATAGTGATAATAATAATAATTAATAATAATAATAATAATAATATTATAATAATAATAATAATAATAATAATAATAATAATAATAATAATAATAATAATAATAATAATAATAATAATAATAATAATAATAATAATAATAATAATAATAATAATAATAATAATAATAATAATAATAATAATAATAATAATAATAATAATAATAATAATAATAATAA